CCTCTCTAGAAACAGCTCTCTTTGGTTCCACCACACGCCCATCAACCTTGTGTGGCCGAGCACACATTGCAGCATCCACCTCTTCAACACAAGAGTAGGTCACAAAACCAAAGCCCCTGGAACGTTTTGTTTGGGGATCTCTCATTACCTACAAAATAAAGGAACAAAAATATTTAAATAGTCCTATATAGGTCCCCATCCCTTCCTAAGACCATCCTTATCCCAAGGACTCACCACACAGTCTGTAAGTGTGCCCCATTTCTCAAAATGTTCTCTTAAGCTATCATCTGTGGTTTCAAAGCTCAGACCACCAATAAACAGCTTCCTCAACTGTTCTGGTTCCTTTGGATCATGGCCCTGAGAAAAAACATCAATATAGTTTTTTAATTTTTTCTTGGAGAAAATGAATTAAATCACATAAATCTTGTAAGATCAAGACTCCAATTAAAAAATCTGCTCTACGCTGGGCATGATAGTACATACCAGTTAATTTCAGCGTTTGAGGCAGAGGCTAGTCTGGACTACTTATCCAGTTCAAAGCCAGTATGTACAGTTTATCAAGAACATAGGTGAGTTGTCTTAAAAACAAAAAACTCACTAAAATGGTGCCCGAAGTCACTTTAAACATTATGTAACTAAACTGACCCCAAAACAATCCCATATTTAAAAAAAAAATTTTTTTTGAAAGCTACAACTGAAATATATTTCAGATGTTTGTAACAAGTCATTCACTAGAAAAAACCCGAAGTCAGCATCATTCATCCCATGCCATCTCCACTATCAGTCTGCAACACCAACAAACCCATAATTTTAAAACAAGATCTATGAAATGCAACTTAAAACTTTAGAGTGGCAAATTGAGAGAAATTCAGATTTCCTGCAAATTAGTTATTTAAAAGATATTCCTAGGCAAAAACAAAAACAAAACCAGACATATCCTACAAAAGAACGAAACAAAATATGGCTAAGACTTAACCCCATAGTGCTTGGGGGTGGGAGTGGGGTGGGGTCCTGTTGAGGCAGGGTCTCAAGGACAGGCTAGGCTAGACCGGAACTTGAGGCAGTCCTACCTCAGCTTTTCATGTGTTAGGATCACAGGTGTGCATCATCACACCTGGATGCACCACTTAGCTTTCTGTAGTCAACTTAACTTGGTGCATGCCCACTTACAACATATAGTTAAATGATTGTGAACACTACCCCTACATTCACAAGTATATAATTTGAATTTATGACACATACAGCATATACTGTCTGCCAGAGGAATTACAACACAAAACCGTAATTGACTTAGAAATTAAATATCTAGTATGAATTTTTCATTTAAGGTTTAACATTCAAGTGAACCGCTTTTAATGCACGCATTAACACAATTCAACACAAATGGTTAAAGGAGACTCCTTCACATTTAAAAACGTCTTCAATCTTCTAGAAGTAGAGGTGTTAAAGCATTCAATATAAAAAGACTGCCACATACTGAAAACACGTTAAACGACCAACTGCCCAAAGCATTAATTCACTTAGTCCCATTTATTCAAGCCTCGGATAAATGCACGACAATACACAAAATCAACATCCCTGTACACACAAAATTCCCGTAGTCGTGAAATTCTCAACTGCGGTCGCAGTTCTCTAAAATCAAAATCCAGAAAAACCACAACCGGTGCCAATCCAAAGAACGAGAAATTAGGTCAGTAAAGGTATTAAGCTCCAAATAAACACTTAATCTACACGCAGACCCCTGAAACAGTTAATACTTGGACCACAAGACGCTGTAAGCCCTTTCATTCCGAATCCTTGAGCGAACGTAGCGGGTTAGGAAGCACCTTAAAGCAGCAAGCTTTTTTTCAGTAACGCATCCCCGACATGAGCGCTGAGAAAACCCGGCCAGACAACCGCACGGGTTTGTCGTCACCGAGGCGGCCCGAAGGCCCGGATACGCGCCGGCCGCAGCACCCCAGCGGAAAAGCACCGCGCGCCCGAGCCTCGAGGCCATCTGCGGCATTTTCCTGCCCCGGCCGCCTCTCCGCCGCTCCCTCCGATCCCACGCACGCCCTGGCGGCGTAAGCAGGCGGCGGCCATGGCGGGGCCAATGCGCCATTTCGTAACGCGGCAGCGGATCAATGTCA